GCTGTATTAGTACGCGTTGGATTACTACCCGTTGGATTACTACACGTAAGATTTCCACGCGTTGCATTACTACGCGTTAGATTACCACGAGTTGGATAACTACGCGTTATCCGAAGCTCCCGCTCTCGCGTCTGCGCATGCGTAATCCTCACACTCTGATTGGTTCGTATTTTTCCTTAATAATTCAAAAACGAAACTTCAAACCCCATTTCTGCAAAGCGAAATCTTATTCAGAATCACGTCAGCTACCCCCCATTTCAAGGACCTACAGTTATGAGACACTTATAATGTATCAATTTCTAATCCACAGGTGAAACAACGTGCAAGGTCACTGACGCCTGATTGGAGTTCTATGAGCAGCCGCACGGAAACCGGAAGTCTTCTTGGTCTCTCGAGCGACAGCCGCGACGATGAAATGTCCTACGTGAAAAGTAAGTGCATCTTCATTTTAGGAAAAGAAATAACAGTCACATTTGCTATTATATTGCAATTTGCAATGTTACGTATGAATGTCTCTTTAATTTTGCAATGAAAGAGATATCACCTTGAAGTATACACCTCAGGTGACAGGTTGCGGTAATTAATTCAATATGCACAATATAAACGATTATTATAATTAGAAACTCACAGACAGTGATTATAGTTCTTACACTTGGCCCAGCTTCTGATGGCCTCGGTCCAAAGAAACTGTGGACTGAGGCTTGTAACGTCAGTATTTAGGCTGATGTGTACAGGAAAATAAAAATGTGTTTAAACAGATACAACAGCTGATATTTTGTTTTGCAAAGATGTTGAGTATACATTTGTTCTATTTAAAAATATTGTCATACATGAGGAAGATATAATCGATTAGGAGCATGTTCACAGTCATAATGACTTATAAATGGGAGAAATTATGAATGTTAAATATTTGTGGATATTTTGTAAAGTGAGACGTGAAAGTTGACAGAGTTCAAGTTTTATATGAGGCAGGTGTTCTTTGTTAAAAAAAAATAAAATTGCAAAAATTAAGAGAACGAAATGTTACTATTTTCTTTCTAATTTAGAACAGAAGTAATAAAAATATAAATAACATAAAGTGAAGCTGACATTTTAACTTGACAATTGACAATTTAACAATTTATCATCTTTCTCAAAATTAAAATACTTAAAATTAAATAAATTACTTAACTATGTACCCAAAATGAAATGCATTTAATGAAATAGTAAATGAAAAATAAAATATTGAACATCACTAATAAATTCAATAATAAATATCAATCGTGTGACCAATAATTTTTTACATGAAAAAAAAGAAGGTAAAATAAACAATTTTTTCAAATAATTTTCAACTAATATCAAATTATATGATTGTTTCTCTAGCAATAAAATAAATGTTATTTACACAAAAATGATTCGTTCAAAGAAAATTATAAACATTTCGAATCGAATTCAGGGCTGGAAGAACGCCAAGTGTGACAGTTCCTTGACCAAGCCTATGCAACATTTAAAATATAACAGATACAAACTATTACATCCACAAGGAACTAGAAGAATCTGGTGACATGATTAAACAGGTACATTGAATCCAAGGAAAGAAAATTACCAATGTTGGAAGTGTACGATTCCTAAATTAGATTCAAGGAATTCATTCATATACATATAATCCTTGTTTCGATTTAATTATACACAAACAATTTGGATCGTATTGTACTTTATTTGCGTTCAGTAGTTGTGAATGTTTCGATTTTATCGTCGATTAGCATAAATCATTATAATAGTGTTTGCTGCGAAAATAAACGATACGAAACACAAAATTCCTTGAGGCGTTCGATAAATAAACTTTGTGGCTTACAAAACTTTAAAGATATTCGAATTTTAATTTCAAAGAAAAATTGTATAGTAATTATTTGTTATTATGTTCGTTTCTTATATGAGACTATAGATATTTTAATTGGAATTTTGAAATTTCGGAATTTGGGAATTTGGGATTTTGAGAATTTGGAATTTGGAGAATTTGGAATTTTGAGAGTTTTGAATTTTGAGAATTTGGAATTTGGAGAATTGGGAATTTTGAGAATTTGGAATTTGGAGAATTGGGAATTTGGAAAGTCCGGAATTTGGAGAATTGGGAATTTCGAGAATTTGGAATTTGGAGAATTTGGAATTTTGAGAATTTGGAATTCTGAGAATTTGGAATTCTGAGAATTTGGAATTCTGAGAATTCGGAATTCTGAGAATTTGGAATTTGGAAAATTCGGAATTTTGAGAATTTGTAATTTTGAGAATTTGGAATTCTGAGAATTTGGAATTTGGAGAATTCGGAATTTGGAGAGTTTGGAATTTGGAGAGTTTGGAATTTGGAGAGTTTGAAATTTTTAGTTTGAAATTTTGAGAATTTGGAATTTTGGGAATTTCAAAATTTGGAGAGTTTGGAATTTGGAGAATTTGGAATTTTGAGAGTTTGGAATTTGGAAAATTTGGAATTTGGAGAATTCGGAATTTGGAGAATTTGGAATTTGGAGAGTTTGAAATTTTTAGTTTGAAGTTTTGAGAATTTGGAATTTTGGGAATTCCCAAATTTCCACATTTTCAAATTTCTAAATTTCAGAATTTCAGAAATCCCTAATTTCCGAATTTCAAAATTTCTAAATTTTTAAATTACAAAATTTCCGAATTTTTGAAATTTCCTAATACTAAATCCCAAAATTTTCATAACATTTCTAAATTTTTAATTTTCCCAATTTCCAAAGTTTCAGAATACTAATCCTCTAAACAATCGATTTCACTTCCTACCACCTGTGCATAAAACCTACAAAGAGCATTCCTACTGTCCACAAATCAAGCTCCCATAAACCGCGTCATACAATACCCAATTACACCGTCTTCTCGTCTCTATAAATCATTAAGCTAAAGTCATTCTCGCCTGCCAACAATTCCATCTTGTTCGGCACCGTCAAGAGTATCGCTATCCACACCGCAACAAAGTTGACAGCTCTTGACAGATGCTCCATAAAATCATTTCGACGATTGAAGTCGATGATCCAAAGGTAGAAATTATTCGCTGAAATAGATGACACAGTTCCACAAGGTGGTTCTCTCGTAACGACACCACCTACACGACTCGTGGAACCACCTCTAGTCTGGTTATTTTCGTTTGCCTTGATCCGCCTCCCTCCAATGTTCCGTGTGTCCACAAATTCAAAATTCAGTCGGCGTCGGGACGCGAGTTATTTCGCGTGCCCTACTTTTTTCTCATCCATCAGAGAGCAGATAAAGTTCCTTGACATTTACGATTCTCTCTTTCTGTATCTGCGTTGAAAGAGATTCGTCGTTGAATTCTGGTTGAATCGTGGTTTTTGAATTCGCCTGCGTTGAATTCTGATTGAATCGCGGTTTTTTCGCGGGTTTGGAGGTGTAATGGGAAGAGTGACGTGAGATGAAATTTTGAGGATGAAGGCACACGATCATGGTATCGTCGCCAGAAATGATGAACAATTGACTATTTCGCGGTTGAGACGGTCGTGGTCTGAGAAGGACTGCTTGATCGTGGATTTTCTTGAATATTTGTATGGACACAGAGGTTGGATATTATTTTGTTAAAGTGGAAATTCAAGTATAGTGGGATCGGAGTTTGTGGAATATCGTTGTTGAGGAATTCACACTTTGCCACCCTTCGATTATTTCAATTTTGAAAGGATTTTTTTCACTTTCCTGTATGGTGCCACACAGAAATTAGTGGAACATTGTTGTTGAGGAATTCACCATTTGCCACCCTTCGACTATTTCAAATTTGAAAGGATTTTTTTAACTTTCCTGTGTGGTACCACACAGAAATTAGTGGAACATTATTGTTAAAGAATTCACCCTTTGTCACCCTTTGACTATTTCAAATTTGAAAGGATTTTTTTAACACTAGAACTACCAACCAGTCAAAACGACTAGTTTCAGATTTCTCATTTTATATTACAAAATTTTATTGTCGTGATTTTATGGAAATATCTGCCATATTTTGTTGAGGTAAAAACTAGGTCTATATGTTACTTGATGCTTTAATATTTATTTATTTCCCTTTTCATTTTATTTTTTATTCTTCGATAAACGAGCATTTAATGTCGGTAGTTCTAGTGTTAACTTTCCTGTGTGGTACCACATTTTCTTGTGTGATAGTAGTGAGAAAATGATAGATTATCCTTTATTTATAAAATTAATATTCACATTTAATATTCACAATTTGAAATTTTCTTTTAGTACTCATTTTAATAAGTTCTGTCTAATATTCTTATTTTAATATCTTAATGTAATATTAATTAATACTCTCATTTAAGAATATCAGTATTTTAATGATCTTGTCTATTATTTTCTAATGATATTTTTATTTTGATATTCTTGTCTAATATTATTTAATAAAATTTTTGTCTTAATAGCTTAATGTAATGTTGTTTAGTAGCATTTTTACTTTAACGTGTAATATAATATTATCTAATAGTAATAATGTCTGTATTTTAATATTAATAATATACATTTTTAGGTAAAACATGCAATGTATAGGTTATTATATATCATTTTAAATATGAAATTATAATAAATCATTTTTAATATGAAATTATTGCACATATGAAATGATTGCACATATGAAGTGATGGGTTTAGTCAGTCAAATCCTACTATACAATATTAAGAATCAGCTTCTGTATTTTGAATGAAAATGAAAATGAATAAATGGTTGTATTTGTACAGATGTTCCAGGACCAATTAGCAGTGAACCAGTCGTTGTTGACGGAGGCAAAAATTGGCTGTCATTGAGTTGGGGAAAAGCTGAAAGAAGAGGACCAGCACCTGTCATTGCTTATAGAGTTGACGCTTGGTTACTAGGGAGTGACGGTGGAGCACGATGGGTCGAGGTATTTTATTTATTCATTCAATTAATTTCACTCACTATTCAATCATTAATTCACTTATTAATCTATGAACAAAATCGTGGATTTTAAATAACAAAAATTATAGAGTTCACAAAATTACGAAAATAAAAACTGAATAAAATATTAAAATATCATGATACAACTTCATTTAAATAATAAAGCAAAATAAAATATTTTTAATAGGATTCATAAATTTCATTTTTGACAGTGAATTTATTTCGTTCGTGCATCGATGTCAGATAAAAATACAGAATATGTAGAGTGTAACACTAATCACTAATATGTATTACTAATATTTTTACAATGCAACAATTTTGAAGGAAGTCGAAATCAAGTAAGAAATATTTGTTCATTAATATAGACAATAGCATAATTTTTATTACGTTGTACATTTCTTTAAAAAAATATTATACAGCTGATATATAGTATGTCCCATCTTGAAAATATTACTTACTATTTTAAAGTTACACTTTTCAAATATTATTCCAGCTATTACATACTAATAAATATTACTATTATCTGCAAGTTTAAAGTCATTAAGTATCATTGTTATTTATTATTCTAAATCGCAGAAGTTGTTCTACAAATATTTTGTGTCTAGTCGTTTCTTCAAGTTTTTATAACATAACCTCAATTTTAAAGACAGCTTTTATCTTTTAAATATTGAAAATCACTAACAGAAAATGGACTGATTTTAAACATTTTATAAAATGAATGTATATCGTTGTTGTTTTATTTCTTTTATTTTATGTGTCCTATTTTATTTCTTTTATTTTGATCCTCTTATTTTGTTTCTTTTATTTTGATCCTCTTATTTTGTTTCTTTTATTTTGTTCCTCTTATTTAATTTCTTTTAACCTGCTTCTTTTATTTTGTCTCTCTTATTTTGTTTCTTTTATTTTGTTCCTCTTATTTAATTTCTTTTAACCTGCTTCTTTTATTTTGTCTCTCTTATTTTGTTTCTTTTATTTTGTTCCTCTTATTTAATTTCTTTTAACCTGCTTCTTTTATTTTGTCTCCCTTATTTTGTTTCTTTTATTTTGTTCATCTTCTTTAATTTCTTTTAACCTGCTTCTTTTATTTTGTCTCCCTTATTTTGTTTCTTTTATTTTGTTCATCTTCTTTAATTTCTTTTAACCTGCTTCTTTTATTTTGTCTCCCTTATTTTGTTTCTTTTATTTTGTTCATCTTCTTTAATTTCTTTTAACCTGCTTCTTTTATTTTGTCTCCCTTATTTTGTTTCTTTTATTTTGTTCATCTTCTTTAATTTCTTTTAACCTGCTTCTTTTATTTTGTCTCCCTTATTTTGTTTCTTTTATTTTGTTCATCTTCTTTAATTTCTTTTAACCTGCTTCTTTTATTTTGTCTCCCTTATTTTGTTTCTTTTATTTTGTTCATCTTCTTTAATTTCTTTTAACCTGCTTCTTTTATTTTGTCTCCCTTATTTTGTTTCTTTTATTTTGTTCATCTTATTTAATTTCTTTTAACCTGCTTCTTTTATTTTGTTCCTCTTATTCTACTTCTTTTATTTAATTTCTTTTATTCCGTGTTCTTTATATCCTCCATTTTGTCTGCAATGTATTTCTTCCATTACAGCTTGGAATGACACCAATCAACGCGTTCGACGCGTTCAACCTAAAACCCGGCGGGGAATACAAATTCCAAGTGACCCCAAGAAATCGTTATGGCTGGGGAGAGTCTGTCACGATGACGAACTCCGTGAGGGTCAGCGAGGCCCTCGATCTTCCGGAGTTCACCAAGATCTTGCCAGGTCAGCTCAAGGTCCTCGAGGGAACGACAGTCGAATTGGAATGCGAGGTAAAAACTCTATTATTAGACGAGGTTGAGTTTCTTAATTTTATTATTAACCCTTTGCATCGAAATTTCCTAAACAATGCTTAATCGCCAAGTGGATCCTCGATTGTGACTCAGAACTATGACACTTGGACTAAAATCAAACATTCGAGTGTTCTGAAAGAATGTATACTGAAATGTAATATCTTTGATATTTAACTGTTTCAAGTTTGAATTATTGCAGAGAAAGTTACATTATGTTTCAAAGAAATATTTCTATAATCAGTAATTATATTTCTATAATCATTTCCATAATTATATGTTATAAACATTTTTAAACAAATATTTTTTACAATAAAAATATAAAACAGCATATTGACATAAGCTATTGTACATGAACATTAGTGATATTGTATATGAAAGTTATTTGACAACAATTGTATATGAAAATTGAACGCAATAATTGTTCAAAAAAATTAATAATAATTGATAAGGTATACCTGTAGAATTTTTAAAATTATAATTAAACATTTTAATATAGTAGATATTTTAAAAGGTGTCTTTTCTGAAATTCACATTCTTCAAATTGTTTCAAAAATCATATTTATAAAAAAGAAGCTCACATCAAAAAGCCTGACATTTTCTATTATTGCGATTGTGATGCATTAACAGAGAAATAAAAAGAATAGAAATGTTTGTAACAATGATATTAAATTTTGTAGATACGTATGGATTCAAAGGTAGACGTAAAATGGTATCGAGAGTCAACAGAGATTGATCCAAACAGTGATCCCAGATATTCGATCAATTATAACGGATCGAAATGTTCGCTTACTATCGAGAAGGTTCAGGAGATCGATAATGGTAGATATGTTTGTGAAGCGAGTAATCTGGCTGGAAAAGCGTCATCGTTCGCTAGGGTGCTCGTTGTTGATGATCCAAAGATCATCGAAGCAGATGCAAAACTTAAATCAAGGTAGTAATCGTGAGAAACATTGAAAAATTAAATTTGGCTACAAATTTAGTTGCAAATTTATTTACAAATTGATAACAAAGAAAGTTAAATACTAAACAGTTGTGATAGACTTAAAATAATTGGTGATTTACAATTTTTATTGTTCATGCAGGGTGCTAGCTGATGATACTGAAGATCGACCACCAGAATTTACCATGAGAATTCGTGACAGAAGGGTTCAAGCTACATACCCTGTGAGATTAACTTGTCAAGTGACTGGACAGCCAGTTCCTGAGGTCACGTGGTTCAAAAATGGCGCAGAGATTCGTCAAGATGGTAAATCAAGTTTCATAAATATTATAAAAGAATATAAACCTTTATGGTGTAAAGATGCTCACAATAATGTACAGAATGCCTCACAATTGATGTCATTGTGTTATCACAAGTAAATTCATTGTGACATAACAAGTAAACAAACTTTCAGTACCACTTTAAAATAAAAACGAATAAAAATGAACATTATTCAATTAAAAAGTCACTTGAGATGTTTTTTATGAACTAACTTATGTTTGATTACATTATTCGTTAAATATAAATTACTTGATTAATTCATTTTTATTGATTAAATGATTAACTATCCTCAATGTTACACCAATTATGAGTCAGCCTGTAGATTACGTCCATACATAACTAAATGGAACCCAGTTACATAATCTCTCCTTTACAATAAGAATTATTAAATCTCCTCAACAGAACACCAATTATGAATCCGCCTGTGCACAACGTCCATAGATAACCAAATGAAACTAGTTACTTAACGTCTCCTTTACAATAAGAATTATTAAATCTCCTCAACAGAACACCAATTATGAATCAGCCCATACACAACGTCCATAGATAACCAAATGAAACTAGTTACTTAACCTCTCTATTACAACAAGTATTATTAAATCTCCTCAACATTACACCAACTATGAATCAGCTTATACACAACGTCCATACATAACCAAATGAAACAAGTTACATAACCTCCCTCTTACAACAAGAATTATTAAATCCCAAAAATATGAAAATTATACCCAAGAATAAGGTCATTAACATAAATTCCCCATTATTTCCGTGTATCACTCTCCGGTGACTTTATACCACTCCTTATGAAACACTCCATATATTCATATGTCCGATCTACTATAATATGTCTACTAACACCGAATAATTCCCAAGAGTTTCATACGTGTCACGAGTGTCATAAGTATCACGACATACAAAATTTCACTGACATGTTCCTTTGTCCTTGAAGAACGCCACATATTCTGGGACGACGACTCGAACTTCCATACCCTGGAGATCACTCATTCAACTCTGGAAGATTCCGGCTGTTACATGGTGACAGCGAAAAATGTGAACGGTTCGGTGTCCTGTCGATGTGTCCTGGTCGTCGACAAAGGGATTCGTGCTTACATAGCTCCAGAATTTTTGCGTGATCTTGACGCCGCTTACACGGTGAAATTGGGTGGAGATTTGAGAATGACTGCTCAGATCGAGGCGTATCCTAGCGTCGGTGTCGTCTGGTGAGAATCATAATTCATAGATGGTACCATTAGATATTCAAGGTTGAATAGTATGTTTCTGATCAATCATATGTGTATGAAAGGTTGAGACATATTAACTGTATGAAAGGATATGATATATTAACTGTATGAAAGTATATGACTGTATGAAAGGTTAAGGCATATTAACTGTATTGAGGATTAAGACATATTAACTGTATAAAAGGTTAAGGCATATTAACTGTATCAAAAGTTAAGACATACTAACTGCATCAAAGTATAGTACATGATATGTATTAAGTGTATGCATATAACAGATACATATTATTTATTCAGAAAATTAAGTCTGCATAAGATGAGTTAACCTTCTGTCTGATCAAGCTAATAATAATATAATTAGCAGTATAGTTTTATACAAGTCTTTGCAGTTAAGTGGAATGCTAGAAAGGTGAGGACCTAGAGATGCATTTAGGTACCTAGCTATGTAGGTACCTAGTTGTATAGGTGTCTAGTTATTTAGGTATCTAGCTGTCTAGATATCTAGCTATCTAGGTATCAGGTTGTATAGGTATCTGGTTGTATAGGTATCTAGTTATCTGGGTATCTAGCTGTCTAGATATCTAGCTATCCTGGTATCTAGCTGTCTAGATATCTAGCTATCCTGGTATCTAGCTGTCTAGATATCTAGCTATCCTGGTATCTAGCTGTCTAGATATCTAGCTATCCTGGTATCTAGCTGTCTAGATATCTAGCTATCCTGGTATCTAGCTGTCTAGATATCTAGCTATCCTGGTATCTAGCTGTCTAGATATCTAGCTATCCTGGTATCTAGCTGTCTAGATATCTAGCTATCCTGGTATCTAGCTGTCTAGATATCTAGCTATCCTGGTATCTAGCTGTCTAGATATCTAGCTATCTAGGTATCTGGTTGTATAGGTATCTGGTTGTATAGGTATCTAGTTATCTGGGTATCTAGCTGTCTAGATATCTAGCTATCTAGGTATCTGGTTGTATAGGTATCTGGTTGTATAGGTATCTAGTTATCTGGGTATCTAGCTGTCTAGATATCTAGCTATCTAGGTATCTGGTTGTATAGGTATCTGGTTGTATAGGTATCTAGTTATCTGGGTATCTAGCTGTCTAGATATCTAGCTATCTAGGTATCTGGTTGTATAGGTATCTGGTTGTATAGGTATCTAGTTATCTGGGTATCTAGCTGTCTAGATATCTAGCTATCTTGGTATCTAGCTGTCTAGATATCTAGCTATCCTGGTATCTAGCTGTCTAGATATCTAGCTATCTGGGTATCAAGCTATATAGGTATCTAGCTACCTAGGTATCTACCTATGAAGGTATCTAGCTATATTGGTATATCTAGCTGTATAGGTATCTAGCTATCTGGGTATCTAGTTATCTTGGTATCTAGCTACCTAGGTATCTAGCTATCTAGGTATCTAGCTGTATAAGTATCTAGCTATTTAGGTACCTACCCCTCTAAGTATCTAGCTCTCTACCTCTCTATCTATCTAGATATCTAGCTATATAGACAACTAAAGATCTAGAAATCTAGACATCTGGAGACCTACAAATCTATTCATGTGAAGATCTAAAAATCTAGAAATTTAAAGCTCTAAGAAAATATAGACCTGCATATAGTCATATCTAAGCTCTCCATACAATAACCTAGAAATCCCAGAAACTAGGAATATAATGAACCATAGATCTACCTAACATGAATACACCTCTAAACCCGATAACAACACAACCAACGTACCCCACAAGTTTTATCATTCCATATCATCAATCATTTCCATTTCCATTTCCAACCAGGCACCGCGACGGAAATCGTCTCCGTCCAAGCAGAAGAACAGTGATGACCTTGAACCACGACGGCACGATCGAGCTGACCTTGGCAAAGGTCACCCCAAGGGACGCCGGTGTATATTGTTGTACAGCCACCAACGAAGTTGGACACGCTGAGACTTCTACGAGGGTATCCATTATTGGCACTGAAACTCAAGGTGAAAACTCGTCCCTCGAAGGTCTGCCAACTGTCACAGTGGCTACGCCAGACATACCGTGAGTTTTATGTAACATTTATACAATCATTTAGGAGGTTCATTAATTATGAAGTTTAACAATTTCGCAATTTATTATTGTTGGATTTATTGGACGGTTATTAATGTTCGCAGATACTCGAAGGAACCATTGTTCGTTAGGAAACCTCTGTCTACCGAAGCTATCGAAGGTGATACTGTTATTATTTCTTGTGAAGTGGTTGGGGACCCCAAACCGGAAGTCATGTGGCTGCGCGACTTTCTCAAGGTTCGTGACTTTTACTTTTCTTGTGATTTATTTAGTTATTTGTAATTTTACGAGGGCAATTTTTTATGTGATAATTGATTGGTGTGAGTAGTTAATTATTACATTATATGTGGTCATAAAGTGGTTAGTATAACTATGGTTAGGTTATTATCAAATTATCTAAATTACCCAAAATTATCAAATTTCAACTTTTAAACTATTAAACTTGTAAACTCAAAAATTTCCAAATTCCAAAGCTTCCAAATTCCAAAATTTCTAAATTCCAAAGCTTCCAAATTCCAAAATTTCCAAATTCCAAAGTTTTCAAATTTCAAAGCTCTCAAATTCCAGAACTTCCAAATTCCAAAGCTTCCAAGTTCCAAAGCTTCCAAATTCCAAAGCTTCCAAATTCCAAAATTTCCAA